CGAATAATTCATCTGATAACTATAGACAATTGCTACACTTTCTGCCAATTGCTCAGGCATGTAGGGATTGAGGGCAGTGCTGGTTGCTATGGTTTACTGTGCACCATTGCTCTTTATACTGGGCTATCAAATATCAATGAAGTTGTATAGACTTTAATCATTTTTGTCATTGTGTCTAATTAAATTACAGAAACTCATTTTTGTATGTTTTAATACATTTTAAATATGTATTTTGTATTCCCATACCTTTTATTGTTGGGGCATGGGAGGTTTTGGAAGAATTTACTGGGCCCTGGTCTCACTAAGGTGAAGAACCACTGATATAGATTACGATGCTGCTGTAAGTGCAGCAAGTATGTAGGCAACACACCATTATACTAATGAAGGATGCAGAATTTACTGCCAAAACCCATTAATTGTTTGCTGGTACATTAACAGTAATTAATTTCACTAATGTAATATGTGTATCGTAGCTGCTGTTCTATTTCCTTTGTAAGTAGATGCCATTAAGAATGTACTATGCTGCAAGCTATGGCATATTGAGTATTCTCAAGTTTTCATTAACTGGCCATATATTGTGATGTTGGTACACCCTACCATATGTTGTGGTAGAATCCTTAGCTTGCCAGTCCCATCCAACACAAGTGGCTATAGATTTGGATGATGGATATATCGTTCTTAAGCTGGCCATACACTATGAAATCTGTTTGTATCATTTCTGTACAATTTCCTTTATGTTTTCCAAACTATGTAATATGAGGACAAACTTAAACAATCCATTTAATTTGTATCAAATCAAGCAGGCCCTTGCACTATATAGTTATTATAGATCTACAGAAATTTGTAAAATCAGATTGTATAGTGCATGATAAGCTCTGGAAGTGTTTTAATATTGTCATATTATAAGGCTGGGTTCATGCTGCTGCGCTGCAGTAATGTGTGTGATAATGCTTGAATTACTGCAGCGTCCGAAAACATGCTGGTTTGCTACAGTGCCATTCATTCCTAATGGCACTTCACTGCACCTTGCCAGTGGACATAGGTTGTAGTAGAGCTGCAGCTAATGATTATTTTCAAAAAAAAAGTGTGGTGTGCAATATAGTGAAATGGAAAGTGTAAAATTATACAGCAATGAATGCAGATTGGCACCGGCTATAGAGGAATACAACGAATACAACAATGAGCGTGATGCGGGGAGGAGGTGCGGCATGTGGAGCGTGGAGGCAGGTCTGGCAGCTGCGAGCGTGAGGTGGGGAGGAGGTGCGGCGCGCAGTGTGTGTGGAGTCGTGAACACGGCCAACTAATGATTAATCGATGATTGAAAACGTTGACAAATTTTTCAATAATCGATTATAATCGATTTAGTCGATTAGTAGTTGCAGCCCTAGGTTGCAGTAACACATTACTATACGTTGTGGTGCACTGTGTTCCAGAAAAAGTACATGCACCTTTTTTAGTGCCTTAGGGACAGCATTTATCACCTTTTTTTTTTTCATGCCTCGACACCCTATAAAAGTATGAAAAATCTTGAGGCAACCCAGTCTAAAAGATAGATAATATACATGTAAAAAAATGTGTTGGCCCTCCAAAATCCATACCAGATCTTTACCCCACTTAAGGGATCTGGAATGGATTTTCAGGGGAGACCCCATGCAAAAACATGCAAAAAGATGAAATCCATCACATCAGAGTTCTCCCTTTACATCAGAGCCACCCCTCCTTTCACATCTGCGTCCCCCTTTCACATCAGAAGCCCCCCTTCACATCAAAGCCCCCCTTTTAATATCAGGAGCAGCAGCATGGTAGAGGGTGAAGCAGGCCTGGATGGGAGAGAACATTTTTGAATGGATCCCATACTTCCTGGATTAGGGTAAATCATTTCCGTGGTGGTGGGGAAAATTTGGAGGCACCCACTACAGAATTCAGAGGGCACCCTGGTTGAGTTAGGCAGTCTATTCAAATAAATGGCACTTCCTAACAAAATTCATGTTAACGCATCACTGTGAAGCCAGCCTAAAAAAGTACTTTTGATACTTTAGATACTACAAAAACAACAAAAATAAGACTAGACCTGACTATAATTGAACGTATTTGTTTTTGAAACAATGTGAGTACATAGTTCTTTCTTTGGTAGATACAGAATGATGTAGATGATTCTAGTAAACTGTGTTTTGGTAGGTCGTCTCTGAGTGACTGTTGAAGTAAAATGTGCTAAGTCAGTCTGTGCAAAGCCAAACAGGCAAAATATAAATGTTATTCCCTAGGCCATTTCATTATTTTGGCAAAAGGTTCAAGGTAGAAGGCCAGTTTTTAAGTCTGTTCTAAAAAGACAACCTGGAGATCTATGAAGACATATGGACCATATTTTAAAGTAAACCTGCTACAAATCTTGACAATAAATACTAAGCAAGAATAAATGAATAAGCAGAGGTTACCTTCCTTTTTCCCAAAAATTCAAGGTTGGCCTTGAATCCATCGGCCTCCTACTTGTAATTGAGATTGATCACCCAGTTAAAGAACGCAATAGGAGACTCTGGACGCATAAGGGACGAGGCCAAGTTCAATTTTACTGCAAAAGTCATAATTTGCATATCATTTCAGCTGCCTTTATCTCTATATTTGCTGGCCATGACACAGAAATGTAGTTTTCATTGAAGAAAACTTTTTCTTGTGTACTTTCTATCATTTATTTGAATTTTCCAGTTTTTTACATATTTAGTTTTAAAGAAAAAAATCCTTATTATTCATATTGATCATTTTATTATAATAATAATTGTAATCAAACAGACAAACGGTAAGTTTAAACAATAGACACAACTCTTATACTTCTAAGTACAATATCAAACACTTAGAAAATATATTTGACAAATTATTAAAGTGTATCAAAAGCCAAGTCATGTTTTTATTGGTTTAGGACAGATAGTGAAAATGTTAATTCTTCTGCCAGGTTTTTAATGCTGGCTGTGCTTTTTCTGGCAAATATGTCATTATGACAGAGATTGATGGGACATCCAAAATTTGGCAGGTGACATCACAACAGGGAAAAAAAACAGGAAAAAGGAGAAATCACCCAATGGGGGCAACTCTTTCTGTGGCAACTATCTAGTAGGGATGAGCTCAGGATCTGTCGAAACTTAAGTTTGTTCGAACCCAGAAGGAAGCTGTCAGTGCCGGCCCAATCAGCTGCAGCTGGGGCATTCCCTGCTCTGCAGATGCACATAAATAATGTAATTGACCTTTTATGGCCCTGTGGGCATATAAGGTCAATGATGCCACCAGCATCCTGCCCCTTTGTATACATGCAACTGCGGAGGCCTGGGTACAGCTGGTTGGGCCAGCACTGAACGTTTCATCCGGGTTTGGACAAACATGGGTTTCAGGCTGAACCGGAGGAGTGGATTTTCCCTTTCTTTCCGTTGTGTCTCCAGGACAGGTTATGTCATCATGGTGGGTGTTTCAAACATTCCCAGCCTTATTTAAGGCTAATTAAAAAAAAAAAAAGAATTTGTTTACATTTAAACAATAAAATTTTTTCCTGTCAATAATTTATACAAGCTTTTCTCAGTCAACAATGTCTTTGGAACTCATACATTTGGTGTCATCATTGTTTCCCTGGACCCAATTATTTCTTAAACCAGTGCAGGATGGTTTACTGCTTATTCTTTCTCACAGCAACAAAAAAACAAGAATACATGTCTAAATCCATATCTCTCTCTCTCTCTCTCTCTCTCTCTCTCTCTTTCTCTCTCTCTCTCTAGAACAAAAATATAGATGTATCTATAGATAGATATATATATATATATAGATCAGGGGCGGACTGACCCTTCGGGCACTCGGGCACGGACAGAGGGCCCCACAGCAACAAAAAAACAAGATTACACGTCTAGATCCATATATATCTATCTCTCTCTCTATATATATACATAGAACATATATATAGATGTATCTCTATATATATATAGATCAGGGGCGGACTGACCCTTCGGGCACTCGGGCTTGGCAGAGGAGTGCTGTCCGGGAAAGTGAAAGTGAGATTCGGTCCCAGCTTCTTCCTCACAGACCTCACAGCAGCCGACCGAGTTCCTATGCCCCCTCTGATTCTCCCATGCTTATCCTCCGCATCTGCCCTTGCTTATCCTCCGCATCTGCCGTTGCTTATCCTCCACATCTATCCCTGCTTATCCTCCACATCTGCCCCTGCTGATTCTCCACATCTGCCCCTGCTGATTCTCCATATATATAGATCAGGGGCGGACTGACCCTTTGGGCACTCGGGCACGGACAGAGGGCCCGCGGCCAGGACGGCCCGTCACCGCCCCTCGCTCCCCTCCAGCTCTCTTTCCACCTACTTCCAGCCCCACAGCATGTGTACGTGCCCACCAGACCCTGCCGTCGGTTTACACAGCCTCATCTGACAGCCGCAGCTGCAGACGAGTGTCACGAGGGTGGGGGGGGGGGGGCAATGCTTGGAATAGGGATGCCCATGGTACGTACCAGTACATAACCTGCCTTCTTTCTTACAACAACATAGAATACAGGGCATTTTGGTATACCATTTGGCTTTGTGCATAGGCGCCAGTCATGTCTCTTTTGTTTTGTTTCGCTTAAAGTCCATATTCACCTTTTTAAGTGATTTGTATTTATTGTGGTCATGTACATGTACAGTGATGATGTATACATGTGCACATTTTTCATGACTCATATTGCAGGCTTTCTTTTTTTTTAAAAGAAGATTTTATTAGGCCTGAAGCCTAAAAGTTCTAAATTTTCTCCACAGGAAAATCAGGCGGACACCCGGTGTATCAGACTGTAATCAGCTGCCCCCCTCCCTGTCACCCATTGTATCATGATCAGTAAACACCAGCTCTGCCTTTTCCAACAATACACTGTCTGGAGGGGGGGAGGGAGATAACACACATTGCTTGCACAACACAGAGGCAGAAATGATATAGATATATCTACAGTTCATGGAAAATGTTTTCTCCTTCTTTTATAGGTGGCAAAGAAAATGGATAGGCAGCCCAGTCTGTGCTCACAGCTGTCTGTAATGCAGATGAGAAACAGCATGGCCAGCACAAGTGACAGTGAAGACGGTCTGCATAACTTTCTGCGGGGAACTTCAACTGCCTCTTCTCTACGTAGGTTTCTCAGCAAGATCATAAAAGAATCTGCATGTCAGCATCTGTCTTATTTAGTGTGAGGAACAGATGGTCATGTATCAAGTAACTGCTTATCTCAAGAATTATTATGCAGCTTGAGGGCCATTATTAGTGTATGTTTTGCTAGGGAAGCACAAGACAATAAAGGTTCCTTTGTGACCCAGATTTTTACACAGTGAGTATACAAACATGGTATGGTATTGTAACAGCTCCAGCACTTTATGCTAATTTGGTGGATTCTAGTTAAAATTGCTTTAGCATGACATTTACAGTTGGTCAAAATATGAAAAGCATGGCATGATGCTGAAAGAGCATTTTAATTACGAAGGTAAAGAGATATTTTAAAGCATGCATTAGTCAATTTGTGTAATGTACTGTCTATAAAATGTAGGGAACTCTAGTAAGTTTGTTTCTTTAGAATTTTTATGTTCTTTTGACTTTATTGCAGAAGTTTCTTTTTTTACCATTTGTTTGAAATTTTTAAACCAATGCATATATCTTAATGTCTTGGACTAAAAGCTTTTTATTGGTGATGAAGCTGGGCTTGATGTGAACCCAGATCGCCAGAGTTCACCCAAGCCCGCACAAAACTGTGACCCCTCCCGTCCCAATCAGTTACAGAGAGGCACATTCCCCAACCCACAGCTATATGTCACAAAGGGGAGGGGATTGCAACCACTGATTGGGCCAGGTGAAGGGAGTGGCAGTCAGTTTTGAGCAGGCTTGGATAAATTGGCTTTGCACCAAGCCAAGGCTCATCTCTACGCGTCATATCCTGTAACTCTATATCACCATGGGATTTTATTTTATTTTTTTACAAATGATCATTGCTTTTTTTCTTTTTGTCCTCTGGTTCTGTGTGGAAGTCCCAGGTCAATGATGTAGCAGTCATCAGTTTCAGAATATATGAATACATACAATTTTATACTATGGAAGTAGTTTTTTTTCAAAGCAAGACTCGTATAAATTATAGTTGCTCAGATAACGTGTAAAGATAAGCTATTTAAACAAGACAAAGGGAAATGCACAAAGTGCATTAACTCGCAGCAGATCAACATATTGTTCTGTTGCCACACTTTATTGTAGGTCTTTAAACTGCTAAACCTATTAATTTGCCTTTCTTTATTATATTGAATAGTTCCAAAACTAATTAGTGTGAATTGTTTGACTAAGAAAAACTAACCATCTGCTTTTACGTTAAGGGAATAACCACCAAGAGTTCTATAATTCTTACGGAATGGGTCGTGTGGCGCATGATGTTTTCTGTTGATATTAAAAAAAAAAAGGAACTAATAGGTAATTTATAAATCCTGTTTGATGGGATAATAATGTAATTGTTGAACTAATGCAACTGCTTTACTGTGTAAATGTTTATAAATCAATCATCCTCTCAACAATGTGATAGATTGTTGACCTCTTGTTGATGATGGAGAACTGAGCTAATTGACTGCTGTGGAAATGCTAAAGCTTTTGATGGCTTTGAATATTTTATACGTGATTACATAAAAATTAGGTTTTCCTCTGGTCATCATCAGTTATCACAAAGCTATTTATTTATGGTCTTCACTGTTTAACTTGTGTGTTAACATAATGCAAGCTAACTCTTACATCACTTCTCTTCTCGTTGCATCTTTCACTCTTTTCACATCTCATAATCCATAAAAATGAAAGCTGTGCACTCTCATTGGCTGCAAGGATCTTGTTTCTTCTAATGTTGCTATTTGGAAAGCTGTTTGGGTGATTTTAGGATGATTATACATTGATCACAACAACAATACAAACAATATGACAGCTTCAGGCAACCATTTGGCTGTGTAGGTGTTCCCATGGAAGCAATAATGAGAGTCTAGAAGAGTGTCATGGTATTTCCTGGTGGTGTAGAGAATCCAAGCAATGCTGAGCTGATACTCCACCACCTGTCACTTTTGCCCCTACATGTCCACACTTTTTGGGTCCTGGATTAATCTTAGTACCTTAACCTTATTTATCTACATATGAACAGTCCGTGCATTACCACATAGCTAACAATCAAACTGTGTTAATAAATAATCACGTTATGTGGCAACATAATTATTACTCATTGATAAATAAGTATGGAACATGTAAGTGCTGTTATTACAAACAAATGTGCGAAATTGTGTTCATTACTACCTGATGAACGTTTGTGTCGACTATTGGTGCCCAATATGCGGCGTTCTGTGTGTGGCCTGCTGCGTGTTGAGTAGGGTGGCAGCTGTATGCCGGATTCTGGGATGCTCTCTGCATTCTCGTACCCGGCACTAAAAATACACCCGGCACTAAAAATAAATCCTGTGTGCTAATCACTACTCTCAGGTGGACTGATCTCCGCCTGATAGTAAAAGTATAGACACAGCCTAACTTCATTACGAAGAGAGTGACATGGGAGCAGGCGATCTGGTAAGAAAAAACTGAGCGTCAATGACCACCAATGCAGGAAGGGGGTGGGGGGTTAAGAGCTTCCAATGACCATCAATGCAGGGATGAGTTAAGGGGAGTTTCCAGCACTGCCACTGACCATCAGTGCAGAAGGGGTTAACAGCATTGCCACTGACCATTAATGAAGGGGTTGGTTAAGAGGAGGTGAAAAGCACTGCCACTGACCACTAATGCAAGTGGGAAGGGGGGTTAAGGGGAGTCAACAGCACTGGCACTGAATATTAATGCAAAATGGGGGATAAAGGCACTTCTACTGATCATCGATACAGGGAGGGAGTTATTATAGTGATTAGCACACAGACTTTGGGATTACATCAGTGGGTATTAAACAAGGTATGTAATGAAAACGCAAAGGTTTTATTTAAAAATTCCATGAGCAAGTTGAGTAGGGAAGACCAAATATGAGAAGATTAAACGTCATCTTGAATATTACAGTCAAACATTGGTTAGTAAATCATGTTAAATCATGTTTCTGTATTCTTGTTGTTAGTGGAGTTCAGATTTATTTTCTAGAAGTTCAGATTTATTTCTTATGTGCATATGTAATGTGAAACAACCCTTTTAAAGGTTAACCCCACCCAAAACTGAAATTGTGGCTCTTATTTGGTGGCCTGCAGTCACCTTAAAATCAAAAGTTGAACCTCCTTTTTTACAAGGAATAATATGGTGTTCTGGAGAACAGAGAATGCAGTGTTTTTTAAAAATCTTTGTCAGACTTCTGGTATGACCTGCAAGAGGAGAGGGATCAGCAGCACACAAAGGGTGCTGTGAGACAAGCAGTGCATGCAGGATGCAGTGCGTGCAAGGTGCTGCGGGACCAGCAGTGCACTGAGAATTCTGCGGGACCAGCAGTGCATGGAGAATTCTGCGGGACCAGCAGTGCACAAAGTATGCTGCGGGACCAGCAGTGCACGGAGAATTCTGCGGGACCAGCAGTGCACAAAGTATGCTGCGGGACCAGCAGTGCACGGAGAATTCTGCGGGACCAGCAGTGCATGGAGAATTCTGCGGGACCAGCAGTGCATGGAGGATGCTTCTGGAACAGCAGTGCACGGAGGCCGCTGTGGAACCAGCGTTGCACAGAGGATGCTGTGGAACCAGCGGTGCGCGGACTACGATGTGGGACCAGCGGTGAGCGGACTACGCTGTGGGACCAGCGGTGAGCGGATTACGCTGTGGGAACAGCGGTGAGCGGACTACACTGTGGGACCAGCGGTGAGCGGACTACGCTGTGGGACCAGCAGTGAGCGGACTACGCTGTGGGACCAGCAGTGAGCGGACTACGCTGTGGGACCAGCAGTGCATGGAGGATGCTTCTGGAACAGCAGTGCACGGAGGCCGCTGTGGAACCAGCGTTGCACAGAGGATGCTGTGGAACCAGCGTTGCACAGAAGATGCTGTGGAACCAGCGGTGCGCGGACTACGCTGTGGAACCAGCGGTGCGCGGACTACGCTGTGGGACCAGCGGTGAGCGGACTACGCTGTGGGACCAGCGGTGAGCGGACTACGCTGTGGGACCAGCGGTGAGCGGACTACGCTGTGGGACCAGCAGTGCGCAGAGTACGCTGTGGGACCAGCAGTGCGCGGACTACGCTGTGGGACCAGCAGTGCGCAGAGTACGCTGTGGGACCAGCAGTGCGCAGAGAATGCTGTGGGACCAGCAGTGCACAGAGAATGCTGTGGGATCAGCAGCAATCACAGCATGCCAAGGAACCAGCAATACATGTAGTATGCTGTGGGGCCAGCAGTACACACAGGATGTTGGGGGAAAGGTCATGTTCTTTGAAAGAAGTGCCCTAACTTTTAAGTCCAGGATCTGCTCGTAGCACTGCAGTGAAGATCCTTTGGAGTCATCTGGGTCCTAAAGATTTCTGTTCATCACTTCTTTTGGTATTTTGTGTATTTCTTCAATAAGCTAAGAAGAAGAACAAGAAGAAAAGGTTGTAATTGCTGAATTTCCAAATGTCAGGTTTTTTTCAAACCTACTCTGTAATTAATATACTGTATATATCTAATATATGCAAATAGCCTTTTGCTGGCTGCAGCCCTAGCATAAGCTAACTAAACAGTTTTATGACTTCATATAAAAGATATTACCATTATTGACTTTAATTTAAAATATTGATATCTAGCGTAAAGTAAAATTAATGGTGTATTGACTCCGTTATTGGTGATGGAGTAAAATCTATACTGCTTGGTGACTAGGAGTACATATTTCCTGCCTGACTGGCTATGATTTAACTACATCTGTAAAATTTATTTCAATTTTTCAGTAGCATTGTATACTGTATATGGCCTTGCAAATCAACAGATACAGAGTTGCTGCATGGCTTTTAGTGATTTTGCTAGGATAGGCAGTGCAGTTACTCTTAAAGTGCAGTCTATTTTTGCAGTCAACTTTGAGAAAGCCCATCTATATGTTCCCATTCACAAAATAAAACTAATTTGTAAAAAATATTTCTTACACATTAAATATTTTGTTGTAGTGGGCAAATGTTCAAGTTTTTCTGAGCACCTTCACA